AGAATAAGGCATCTCAGGAAATCCTATGGACTTAGGGTTTGTGTCAAATGTGTCAAATATATCAGGTTTTCCACGTGTCTTTTTTTGTGTGTTTCAGAAAAAAAACCATACAGAAATGCCATGACTGTTGGGAAGTAGGGTGATGCTTCGTGTGCCCCATTTTTAAGTGAACTTTCACCTCCCATCACAGTCTTGACTAAAAACTGTATCGGTCTATACATATCTCAGATGCCAGTTGTGTGGTTTGTGTCAAAGGCCTCAAGTTGCCTCGGTGTGTGTCAATTGTTTTCCATTTTGGGGGAAGCTCGGCAACTTCATTTTCTAGCAATGAGGGTGTATCTCGGACTTTATGTATATCAAATTCATCTTTGGGGAGGTATGGCGTTCATTTCCTATGCCCTGCTTTTAAACTTTAAGGGCTGAATTCAAATGGCATTCAGAATGAAAGAAGACCTGTTGCATCAATGGGATTTACTTAAATGTTGACTCATCTTTCAGCAGTTAATTCAGTGCATCTACTGTAACTGAAACTTGCCATTTGATTTAGGCCTAAACATATAAAGTTGAATTTTCATATATTACCTTTTCAGATTGAAAAAAAAGACAAATTGTACAATGTCACAAAGTGGTGCAAGAGAAAAATAAAATCACATGAATGATGGTATAGATACTGGCCAATGGGTGCCTTTAGCATTGTTAAAATCACAGTGCAAACAATGTATATAGTCCTTCTGCTCAGGTAGAACAAGTAAACTGTGTTTTTCTGGAGACATGTTTTTACATTTTGCATGCCAGGCTACTCAGCCATTGCATATACCTGGAAGAAAGGTACCTAGTCCTCAACAATAACAACAACAAATGTGTACCTACCATGCACTTGTCGATTATGAAGGGAGAAGTTATTCACTCAAGGGTAGTGCAGACATAACATTATCTTTCTTGTAAGACATTGGGAAACTTAATTATCCTGTCTTCAAACCCATCTTTTTGCTAGGAAGAATTCCTACTAAACCAGGATCTGAAACCCTCATTAAACTGTGTTACCAAAGGCTTACGAAACTATGGTTAAACCTGGTGCTGATGCTCTGTTTAAGACCGGAAGAGAAAATTCACTCTGAAGAGGGAAGACCATCGGAAGAGCACAAGAAAACCTTACAGTGTGAGGCTCTAATGCGTGTGCGGTGGCACAATTCCTTGCGAGTAAGCCCCCCCCGAGCAAAGCACACCCTCCGTTGGACCCCTAAGACTGGATTGGTGCCTGAGATGGAGCGGTGGCAGGAATAGGGATGCCAGTGTGTTCCTCCGAGATCTCTCTGTCCCTTCTTGTGGAGACTCAGCAGATATAAATAGCGGGTTGGATGAGCAGCTATTTCCAGAATATGTGGCGGTGGATTAATTTATGTCAGCAAATGGGGAGAGCGAGGGAGCAAGAGAGAGCGAGAGAGCAGGGAGTCCTCAAACATAGCTCAAGGGAAAGCTGAGAATCCTGTCCTCTGAGGGGGCAAGAGGAGAATCCTGCATGTAAGGAAGGCCGGCGAGAAGAGGGTCTTAGAAGGAGAGGCTGGCCAGCCTTCAATGCCGGCTCTTAACAATGAGGTAATCTCAGCCATTCCTCCCGGATTCCTGGCTTGCTGACATCAGCGGGGGGGGGAGGGGGGACCGGCGGCAGCGGCACAAGAATGTCATCCTGCCTTCAACCCCAAGGAATGCTTGAGTCATGCTCGGGAGCACTGGCCCGGTGTCAGCGCCTCCCTCACCTGAGCAGCATTTAGCCCCGTGGGATCAAGAGCAGTTCAACGCTTCTCCCTTCCCCGCATCGCAGCCGGATTTTGCACACAGCACCCGGGTCGGTCTGGCAGCCGTCGGCTGAGGAGGCCTTCCTAATCCTAAAATCCCAAGGAGCAGAATGGCAACATCCGGAGCTCGAGAGAAGTGACTTGGTGTGACTACAACACCCAGGCTCCCCCGGCTACCTTCCTGGCTGCCAGTCACAGCAGAGACGGCTCTGCCTTGAGCTTGGTCCCAGAATCCTCCAGCCTGTATGGCTACTGGGAGTTGTAGTCCAGACAAGTCACTTCTCCTGAGCGCTTATCAGCTCCAGTCACACCAGGGATCCTCTCAGAAGCCTCTGGGGCACCCTTGGGTTGCCCTGGTAAGAGGGATGTCTGGTCCATCAGCCCCATAGATGGCCTCAAGCAGAAGGGCACTCGTGGCTGCTGGGGGAGTTGGGAACATGGAAGCCCCAAGGTCTCTGGGGCCAGACAGTCTGGTTGAAATCACATTTGTGTTGTAGAGATGTGATTCCAGAAGGTCTTCATGTCTGAGAAATCAGGTGTCTATTGTCTAGACCAGTGGTTCCCAACCTCAGGTGATCTTGGACAGCTGTTCTTGGACTGCAATCCCCAGGAACCCTGGCCCGCCCAGCTGCTGGTGGAGGTTTCTGAGAATTGCAGACCAAGAACATCTGGATTATCCAAGAGTGGGAACCACTGGTCTAGAAGACCAACAGCAAACTAAAGTAACCTAACTTGCATACTATAAGAGGTATATATTTTAAAAGACCCATAAACCTTCTCAAGTGACTATCAGCTGTTCTGAGGACTTAAGAAAGGCCATCTGTACATCTGCTGAAATTTAGAGAGCTCAGATTTTTCTGCTAGTGGGGAACACCTCTACTCGCCTACAAACTGCCTCTAGGATCCCCAGACTGACCGACCGACTGACCTACTTACCTACCTACCCACCCACCTACTTACTATCCATTATCAGCTCCTTCCTTCCTTCCTTCCTTCCTTCCTTCCTTCCTTCCTTCCTTCCTTCCTTCCTTCCTTAAGTTTAACCTGTAAGGTCCACTCAGACTAGTTAGATTGGGTACGACCCACCCACTCTTGACTGAGAAAGACAGTGTCTTGGCTTCTGACATACTCTAAACAATATGGTGCAGTTGGACATAAACACAGGCAATAAATCTTAGTAGGAAACTATGAGAGCAACATTTTTTTCAAGAAATACTTACGATGCCAGCCTCTTAGCACATTCTGGCTTTACCTCTGCTTGAGAAACGGGGATGCTCTTAAAGTTAACCTCCAGCAGAAGACCTGAGTAGTTGACAAGGGATTAAGTGACTTTGC